TTGTTTCTCTTATGTAAACTTTTCCCATTTATGACAAGCAGTGGTGTTTTTTCTCTTTCTAGAAATAGATAGCATTCATAAACTGAAACAGTTTCAGTGGGGACATTTTCTGCAATACTGCACCAGAACTGTCTTGGCAGAAGTACTCAAATCCTATAAAATAGAGTTAATATTGATATACTTTAATCAAAAATTTCTGTTTCAAAGTAATAAAGTCATGTAGTCTTGGGCAGCCTCGATGCTGTCTTTATCCTTCCTGCTAAAATCATCTTTTCTTTTTGGATTCTGGTGCCATATTTTGAGAGCTCCAGATTTTCTTTCCCTAGTTCTCAAAGTTCTCTTGAGAGTTTTAATGGTTCTGAGGATCTCCCAGCCTTGCCTTGTGGGGGAGGATGCAATAATTTCCAGTCCTGTCTGACATTCCAAAACTTCTTCAGGGGGTACATTTTAGTGCATTAGGTCCCATACCCATAGCAAGACTCTGCCAGACTTGCTGTGATTGTCTGCTCTCCAGGAGACCCTGCCCCCTTGCAGCCACCAGGACATGTCCCTTACATCCCTGCAACGTTGTTGAAGCTGTTGCCATCAGCTGGTGACACTTCCTCTCTTCACTCCAGTCAGTATAGCCATCAACATTTCTTCTGTAAGCCAAAAATAAAAAAAAATAAAAAAGACAAGATGGGTACTTAAATGTTTTTAGTGGGATACGTAAAAAGCACTAGGGCATGTGAAGGTGGGAGCTCTCCTGTGGGTCTCTACAAAGATGACACCCTGAAAGCCACCACAGAACTGTCTCACTGAAATGAGCTACTCTGGCTTTCCCATCCAGAGATGTGGTCAAATGGGAAACCATCACGTGGAAGCTACATTTCAGGAATCATGACGAATTCTGCAGCCCAGGCAAAGGAAACTACCTACTTGATTTGGCTTTCACTGCCTGCAGTGCTAGAGACTAGAACTGGAATATTGCTGCAAATAATTTACAACATTGCTTGCCAGGACTGCAAGCACACAAAGCTGGAAATGTAGAAAGATTGCCTGGGCCTTGCAATCATCTTCCATGTAAATATCTATAATGCATATGCCTATTTGTTCTTTATGTAAATATACTAACACATATGTATTTTATGCATTTATATAAAAATAAATATACATTTATAAAAAAATTATATAGCTTCATATGTGACAGTCAATGTTATAAGCTTATTACTTAATCTTTGTGGGTGTGTGTGTGTGTGTGCACAGGTGTGTGCACATGCTGGTACTAGAGCTTGAATTCAGCCTGGGTACTGTCTCTTTTTTTTTTAAGCTTCAAAAATATGTTTCTTTTTTTTAAGTTTTATTTTCTTGTAAAGATGCTGTACAGAGGGGTTACAGTTACATGAGTAAGGGAATGAGTACATTTCTTTTCGAACATTGTTACCCCTCCTTTGTTTTTCTCCTACCATCCCTTCCCTCCCCCTGGGCACAGACTCTTAGGTTTTCCTTTTGAAGGATGATGCTGTCCCACTTGAGCCACAGCTCCACTTTTAGTTTTTTACTGGTTAGATAAAACTCTCCTGGATTTGTCTACTCTGTCTGGCTTCAAACTGTGATCTTCAGCTTTTACCCTCCAGAGGAGCTAGGAATATAGACATGAGTTTCAGGCACCCAGCAAGTTAATAATAATGTATTTCATCCTCATACTATAGTTAAGTAGAATTATTGCTCCTTCCTCCCTTTTTGGATGAAGGAATTAGCCCCACCATCACCATAATCATCATCATCCATGAACATATAGCAAGTGCTCTGACCCAAATAGTATGGTTCAAATTCTCTTCTTGCTTATTGAAGTGTTTTACACAGGATATGTGTGCAGAGCTGGGAGCCTCTCACTTCCGGGTTAGTTGTTAAGTAAACTTTAATGAGCAGATTCTGTTTCCGATAACAGGGAAAGATAGCTATCACAGGACTAGGTTCTAATAAGTGTCAGGATAACAAGTAGAAAGGTTATGGTGCTTCTCAAATGATGCTGTTCCATTTCTTCCTTGCATTCATTATCTAATTTTTTTTTCCTTTTTTATATAAACCCCACTTATTTTTGTAAAAAAAATCTGTTTTAGCAAGATGATTGTCTATCCTCATTATTTCCAAAATCCTTGCTTTTTGTATTGAAGGAGATCTTAAAATATCTACAGAAGAGCATTAAGCATAGTTGTGTGTAGTCAGTTATGTCACATTTTTAGTTGATTCCATTTCCTTGCATTTACATTATCTTTTTCTTTCTTTCTTTTTTTTTCTATCCTGAGTTTGTATGACTTTCCTAAGACCAGAAGACTGACAAAGCAAAATGTTGCCCATGGGCTAAATTGGCCTCCTCTTAAAACTGAATCTATCACATGTGTTTCCTCGTGCCTCTGTCTCACAGTCAGTCAAGTTCAGCCTGGGCACAGCAGGCCTCCAGAAGCATTAGGGGCTCAGCAGTCAACAGCCTAGAGCATTTGCCCAACTGCTCATCTCAGGACTCTCTAGGTTTGTCACATTTAATCTTCCAAATGCATTTTTGTACATAGGTTCCTGTGCCTCATTGGAGGTAAAAGAAACAACTACAGAAGTGTACTTTAATCACCTCTAACTCTCAGTATCTCAGGCTGGCCTTAAACATAAGATCATGTTGCCCTCAGCTGTCACAGTACTGGGATTAGAGGCATGCACCAGCACACCAGGCTTCGGGCACATTATTTTATGTCATAATTAAAAGTGGACCAAATATGTGATCCTAGCACCTGGGAGGCAGAAGCAGGAGGATGGCCAGTTTGAAGCCAGCCTAGGCTGCCATCCTGACAACCTGACTCAAAAACAGATAACAATGATAACAGCAGCAGCAGAAGCAAAAAACAACTTGTCAGTGTTTCACTATGGGAAGTAAAATTATTTCCATTATGGAGAAAATAGCATGTGTAGGAGTTCATTTTAGAATTCTTCCATCCTTTCTTTAGGTCTTGAGTCTTTCTAATGGTCAAGCGCAGAATTATTATTTCATTTTTACCAATAAGAAAACAGAAGTGTGAGGTAGTCAGCTAGGAAGAGCCAGTGCCAAGATTGGAATCCACGTTCCTCAGCTCTGTGTGTTCTCATGAATTAAGTGAGGTAATACTAGGTGTGAAATAAAGTGACTGCTCTTTCCATCTCTTACCACTTCTTTTCCTTTCTCTTCAGTGTCTCCTCCTCTTCCTTCTATTCAGTACCCTATGTCAGGTTAGATTTTATGTTGGGAGGGATTGAATACCGTTCGTGAATGACAGAATCTTCATACTGCATGGTGTGCTAGAACTCAGAAGATGAGGGCTGACGTCAAAGGTACTTCTTTGTCCCCTCTCTTCCCCCCTTCATTTTGTCATCTTTCACTTTCTTCTCTAAATATTTATTTTAACCTTGCCTTCCCAAGATGTACTAGAGCTTCAGACTTCACCCTGCCAGATGGCAAAAGAGGCTAGCTTTCATAACCCGATCTTTCTCTTTTCAGCAGTGAAGGATAAATATTTCAGGATCAGCATATTTTATCAGTGACCTAAGGCTGTTTGATCACTTTCCATCTGCAAGTCCTGGTTTATTTTGTTGCTTTGCCTTGTAAAGTGAGTTCTTGTATATAGTACATTTATGACAAGTAACCAGTTGCTTTTGTTTCAGGGAGAGCCATGTTACAGGAACAGGCTATAATATGCGTTTCACCACAGCACCATAATTTCGTATGGCAACTTCCTCAGTAATCATTATTATAATGAGCCATGCGCTCCTTTAGAAAGCACCTAGCATTACACATTTTTTTTTCTTTTCAGTTGACCTGTCCACAGCCTGTGTACTCCTTCAGGGTAGGACTGTGTCTCAATTATGCTTTGTATCCCCAGGGTGTGATACATATTAAAAGTGAAAATAACAATGGAAAAAATAGCCTGGCCTCTGCACAAAGAATAATTCGCAAGCTTCTGCAACCTTCTGGAAATATCCTGGGGCTTTCTTTCCGCATCTGTTCAGCAGAACTGATGGTGTCCTCTCAGAGTTGCTGCTCATGGACTCTTACTCCCCTCCCACTAGTTTCTCGGAGTCTTGGTTTCTCCTTGGTGTCTATGGCACTGATGGCATCCGCAGGCCAGCCTGCTTTGCACTTGGCAACAGAGACTTTCAAACGCATCTGTGAAGAATGCCAAAGCCCTTTTCGAACCCTCTGTAGTATCTTGCCCATATTTTTCATCAGTAAATTGGAAATCCTAACATAGAAGTCACCTTCTTTGCTCACGTTTTCTCTGAGTCTAAGCTCAATGAAGTGATTGATTAAAATATTTAAATCAGCTAGCAGAAGCACCAGTGATAAACATCTCACCAGCCCCAGCTGATTATTCTCTGTTCCCATCCCATCTGTGCAGGCTGGTTTTCCATTCAGCCCTATAAGTTCCTAAGTGCAAGGTCAGTAACACCACAGTGAGCAGACAATTACAAAACTCTGGGCTCCTGCAGGCAAAAGCCAGCTTTCCTTCAGTTGTTTCTGGTGCTTGATTTACACAACGCCACACTGAATCTATAAGGAGGAATCTTGGGCTTGATATAACACTTCTGTAGCCTAGTAGCTGGCTGGCTTTGGATAAGTTGCAAGACTTCTCTGTGGTTCGGTAAAAAAGAAATACCTGTTTATAAGCCACCTGTCTAAGACACTTCCATCTCTGTTACAGGTTCTAAAAAATACTGGTAGCCTGCCTTTCTTTTGACATATGAGACTGTGTTCTCGCCTCTTTCTTTCTGAGTTGTTCCTAGTCTGTCCTCAATTCTAAGTCTCAGGCAATCAGCACTACACATTTACACTTCTGTGGTTGCTCTTAAAACAATTCTACTAAATCTCACTTCTTCTTTTCTATGTGTGTGTGTGTGTGGGGGGGGGGCTTGAAATCTGGGCTTGGGTGCTCTACTGCTTGAGCCATAGTGCCACTTCCAGTTTTCTAGTGGTTTACTGGAGAAAAAAGTCTCACAGACTTTCCTGCCCGGGCTGGCTTTGAACCATGATCCTCAGATCTCAGCCTTCTCAGTAGCTAGGATTACAGGTGTGAGCCACAGGCGCCTTGCTGAATCTCACTTCTTAAGGGGAACAATTCAGTGATTTCTCGTATATTCACAAATATGTACAATGGCCATCACAGTCAAGTTCATAATATTTTCATGATGTAAAAAAAGACCCAATTAAAAATACTGCAGTGGGGGAAAATTACAAACCAGAAAGGTAAAAGGAATGTAGAACATTAATGACATCACCAAGCTATTGTACCAGTACCAGGCTATTCATTGCCAGATTTGCTTTCAGTGTGTGTATGAGAGCAAATAAACTACCTCATTTAAGCTACCATTAAAAAAGAAGAAACAAAGAAATGAAGAAGCCAAACCCTGAGCTATCATGCCACTTTTCTCTGCTGACTGTGTTCTTCCCCCAACTATAAGCAACCACGAATCTACTTTTTGTGAGGACTTGTCTAGTATAGACACGCATATAGTAGACTTATATGTGTGGCCTTTTGTGGTTGACTTCTTTCCCTTAGCATCATTTTTCAAGGCTTACGTGGTACACCTATCAGTACTTCTTTTTGCCGGGTCGGTTGTATTTCATTGTATGGGTATCATTTACTGTGCTTATCCAGACAGTTGATGAACAAGTGGATTGTTTCCCCTGTTATGAATATCATCAACTATTTGGCTTCTTCTGCATAGTATTCAGATTGATTTTCCTGAAGTATAGTCTTATCATATCCATCTTGTGAACCAAACTCATCACTTGTTTCCCATTGTTTTGAACATGGTGTTTATCTAGTGGATTTTAGTGCAGGTAAGTGAAGATATGGAGTGGAAACTTCCACTTGGGAATCAGTGATTAGGATCCTTTCTTTTCCCAAGGCTATTGACTTCCTTCACTTCCTCCATTTCTCTTCCTATATCCCCCAAAGTACATTTTCTTCTGTGTAGGGATCTACATATGATTTTTCAAGACTGTTCCTCATTGTCCTTACCTGAAATGAATTTCTGCATTTTGATGGACCAAATCAGGCCTCTTAAAACCTTGGACATGGAACTGTCCCATGTTCCTGTAGCTGAATGGGCTTTCCTTCCCCCTCCCCCCTCAGGCTCTCACTGTACGATTAGTACTATCACGTGTCCCTCAGCCTGTGTGGGAGAAATGCTGCTAGGTACTAGGAGGGAGGTGCTTCTCTATCATCTTTCCTTTGTCAAACCCAATGCCCCTTGAGGTTAGGGATCAAGTGTGGCTCAGTGTCATGATGAGAAATATATTAATGCTTCAGGCATTATTATATGCCAAGCCGTGGACTAGGTTCTTCCATTCATTAGCTAACAGGAGAGGAGCTGTTATTTCACTCTCGTAGGTGAGAAGACACTCAAACGGCATAAGTACCTCAATCCATCAGTGAAAGAGCTCAGATCAAGTTGACGAAGGTGTCCTCTATCATTCTCATTTTGCAGATGGGGAAGTTAGGCTCAGATAAGTTAGATATCTTATTTTTAGGATCACATGCTTCAGTAGTGTGCAGAAGCATAGACTTTAAAATACGAACGTTTGTCTCCAAGCACACTTTGATTTCTCTACTGCAGCATAGCCTCAGCAGGCTGTTTGCTGATGTAATTATTATGTTATAAATCAGCAGGGAGGAGGGGGTGCCCGTACCTAGCAAGTGCAGTCGCTATTTACTTTCACATCCCATTGTGGTGAAGGTTATAAATGTCCTAGAAATGTTGAGAAAAGTCATGGCAGCTTCATAGAGGAGGCAGGGCTGGTTCTGTGCCTTGAGTGCAGAAAGAAGAGGGGTCAGAAGCAAAGAGATGGAGGAAGGAAGCATTTCACATCTCCCTGTGAACCCATTCTCCTGCTTTTATCCCACTTCTCTAAGACCTTCAGCAGTTTTATCACCATTATTGGGACAACTGTTGGAAAAGATTTGCCGGGTATGGAAGTGGGCGTGTGCCTTTGTAACATGCTTGCATTTCTGAAAGGGATGGGTAAAGACGGTATATAATTGGATATTGTGTATCAGAATGAATGATATCTTTCTGAAGTTCTGTTTTGAATCAGTTCGTTTTGGTATCAGCATGATGAAATTTACCTTTTGAGCGAGTTCATGGATACAACTCTCTTAAGGGCCAAAGTACAAATCCTGCACTGCTGAGGTAGTTACTTGTTCATGAGCTCTAGGCAAGGTGTTGACCTGTTCTGTGTTGGGAAATTTGGAAGACAGTGCAAGGCTGAAGCACTGGATGAAAGTGAGTACGAGGATCCCTACGTGATAAGAAAGCAGAAATCCTATGGTATGCCTTGGGTGCCATTTTCTCAGGAAGGCTGCTAGGTGACAGTAAGGAAGGAAGGAAGGAAGGAAGGAAGGAAGGAAGGAAGGCAGGCAGGCATCTATGTTAGATTTCTAGACTTCAAATAGAGGGTTGAGGTTTGGGGGAGCTTCCTCTTGTTTCAGGTTGTGCCTTGAATTTTCCCCCATACCCTTTCTCTTTACTCAAGTAATCTGCTTTGTGAACCTGAACTTGAAATTCTAAAGACTTTTTCATTTTCTAGAAGCCTGGATTTCTAGAACATCCTTTCTTCCTACCCTTTGGAGTTCTTTTGTAGGCCCCTGCATGAAGTTGAACATGAAGTATTCTGTTTAGATATTAAACTTCATTTTAAAGTCTCCATTTACTTTTATGTGCTACAATAGATTGTGGTTTTAATTTTGATTTCTTTCAAGGTACACATATTTTGTATATACTCTGGAGATGTAATACTTTATAATTTTTATTCCTAAAGCTCCTTCCGTTTTCTTTAAAGTTAAAGTACTATGAAATCCATAGCACATTCTTTTTAAAAAAAAATGTAAACCTGTTTCTCACTTAAAATATGATACCATGTCTGATTATAAACCACAAATAATAGCATTTGTTTGAAACAAATGCTACAGTTGGAGCAGCAGTAAAATAAACTGTGGGTTTTTTCGCTATTTGCAAGCACACTATTCAGTAGCTTTTGACTTCAAGGATGATTAAAAATTATAGTTATTGATTTCTAACCAAACCACAATATTAATAATCTCTGGAGGGATAATGGATTATTGGCTTCTTGTCACAATAGTTTTGAGGAGAGAGTGGCCTTTGGTACCAACAGCAGCATTTTAGTAGAGGGTCAGAATTGGGGCTCAGAAGCCAGGACATGTATGATGTAGCAGCACTTTTCCAAATCTCAATGGACGTGTTCAATATTAACAGGCATGAGTCATCTTGATTCCTGAGCACACTGAGAGCTTCTCAAACGTTTACATGTTTCTCTTTCTCAGTCTTCCCTCAATGTATTACCGAGATGCTAAGGCAGAGCAACTATTTCTATTTAATTTATTCATACTATTGTGGAAAAAGAGCAGAGAGCAGATGGTGGCCTCATATATAGGATAAGGAAAATGACTTACAAAGTTAGTGGTCCTTTACATCTCTGAAGCCAGGCCCTAGGAATGCTGTGACGTCTTCTCCAGTCTAGTGCTTAGTGTCTGAGCTTGTACATGTCAAGGAAGTGGTAATCAACAGTCTTCATTTTTCTTTTGTAGTGAAGGAATCCTGATACCTTTGGCTATTTGTATTTTTCAAATGGAAACACTGTCTTTTCTCTTGTCTGTGTTGCAGCTCTATGGAAGCAGTTTCAGCTTAGCCCTTTAAGCACAGTTTTGGAGTGATAATATGATAATCTGTCCTGACTCCCTTTGAGGGTTAGGGCTTCTGATTAAACCTCTAGTGTTCTTTATTATCTCTAGTATTATTATTAGTACTGCTCAAGGCCTCCCATTCTGGTGCTCAGCTTCTTATTGTCCTGAATTTCTCCATTTTTCTGTCTCCTGCCCTTCCTTTGGTCTCACCCCCTTTCTCTTCTGCTGCTCCTCTTTCTGTCTTCTGCTGTTACATTAGCACCTTCTGATTGAACTGCCTATTTTGTAGCTTTGCCTCGCCTCTTTATCTTCTGTTCACGTGTCCTTAACACAGGCCTTGTTTTACTGTTGTGCTTTGGAGCTCTTGTAGCACTGAAAGCTGGGCAGTGTACTCTGCCAGCTCCAGCTCATAGCCAGTGTTCTGCTATACTATGATGTGTTCCAGCCCCAAAGAAATCATCTTTCCTCCTTTTTTTAGTTTATCTTGTTTCCTCTCTCCCTCCTTCCCCCTTCTCCCCACTCTTTCTTGCTCCTCCCTCTGCTCCTACTGCTCCTCTCCCTCTTTTCTCCCCACCCCCCCCCCCCAGCCATGAACCTGTGAAGGTGGTCCATGGGGATGTTGTGTTATTATGCTACATGTATTAGTCTGGCCTGGCCACACTCAAGTCTAGCTCTAGATTGCTGGAAGTACTTTGAGTTGTGGTTCTAGCCTTCTTAGGAGTAAGTTGTTTATATGACCAGAGGTCTTTTTATATCCACAGCTTCTACATCTTTTAGGCTGATTGGTTTTCCTCTAAAGAGGAATTCAAAAATTCCTCTCTGAAGCCTTATGCTAAGTCTCATAGTTCAAAGTTCAAAAGTTGGAGCTGCTGTGTTTGAAGTGTAGGTGGAGAATCAAGAGTACTGCTTGCTCCTCCCAAGCCTCATCTGTGGTTCCTAGGTAGAGCTTACTAAGTCCCTGGGCTCATCTTGCCTTTCAGTCCATCAGTGATAACCAGAAATAGAGAGGCTGGGGGAGGACAGGGACATAAAAAGGCTTAAAGGCAAAAAGTTCAAGTGCCTGTGGCCAGCTGCCCAGTCCCTGGACTGGAATGAAGCCAAGGACCACCTTGGTTTTTACAATGGAGTCAGAAGAGGCTTAGGATAGAGAATCCTTGTCATTTGTGACATAGAATGGGTCATCTCCATCACTGTGCCTGGCAGCTAAAAGCCCCAGGCAGAATCAGCTGTGGATAGCAGCTTGACCAGTTACTTATCTGTCTTTAATAGACACTACTTAAGTGAATAAGATCTGCTTTTATAATGAGGTTGGTATTTCTGACTTTTATTCTAAGAAGTGAAGCTGGGTCAATCAGACCCAGGAAATCGTTATTTGCTTGATGCATTTTGGCATGCCATTCTCAGGCCAGGGTTATCAGAGTCTGTGATAAGCAGGCAGTGGCCAGAAGAAGCAAATCAGGGAGCTGCGGTAGGACTGCGAGTATTAGCCATTGGTTTGTGGGGGTGGGAGGGGGTGGACCTAGGAAATCTTATTGTGTCAAGTAGGGGGAGCAAAGGTGGGCTGTCAGAGGAAAGATGCAATGAGACAAAGACTACTGTGGAAGGGGGATTCTATATGGACAGAAACGTGGGGACTGGCTCTTTGCTTCCCTATTCAGATCCTCTTTCTCACTCCTTTCCCCACTGAGTGTCTTTTGACAGCAATCAGCTGGTCCATCCTTAGGACTGTTCTGGTCATACCTTCCCCTCTACTTCTTGGAATATTAAGAGAGTGCAGCACTGATCATTCTGCCTTCCAAAATTTTTTTGTTGTTACTTTTTCTTTGTTGATGTTTCCAGTGAAATATGCACCCAATGAGTACCTGTAAAATATGCGTAGATATGACACAAAGTTAAACTTAGAAAAGCAAAATAAATGCCCATATCTGTATGATAAAGTTAGAGAAATGGAATATTATCTGCATGTAAGAGCATCTATCTGGAAACTTGATTAAATTCTCTTAAGAGGATTCCTAGAACATGTAAGATTCTCTTATTGTATGTAGCCAATCATATCATCTACAGATAGAGTTATTTCCACCTCTCCAGACCTTATGCCATCTACTCTGTCATTTTGTCTTCCTGCACTAGATACTACCTATAGTTCAATGTTGAATCACAGACATACCATTAGGGATACTTACATTTTTCCATTGAGTTGTGACATTTCCAAAAGTTTTCCTATGGTAAGCTTTTGTCAGATTGGGGAAATTACCACCCCACCTATGGTTAGGTAATAGAATTTATTGTGAATGCATGCTAATTTCATTCAAAAGCATTTTCATTTGAGGCGATCATTTGGCATAGTGCTTTCCTGTCTCTATTTTTAATCTTTCAATGCAACACTGTAGTTAAGCCTCATAATTTTTTTTTCAGGACTAAAATGAACTTATATATTTGGAATGAACCCAATTTGATCATGAGTTGTTTTCTTCTTTATGCATGGCTAAATTTCATTTGCTAATATTTTGTTTGGCATTTTTTTCATTTATATGGAGCACTTATATTCATATGTATTTTTAATTTGTCATTTTTTTCACATCTGTTTTTGGTGCTAGGGCATGTGTAGACCAATAAAATGAGTTGGGAATATTCTCTTTTCCCCTGGAAAAATTTATATAATTTAGAATTTATTTGTTCCCTTAATATTTACTAGAATTTGCCTGGTACTTGTTTAATGGGAAATTTTAAAAAAATAATGATGATAGAGCCATCTATTTTCCCAGGAATTTGGATATTATAATTTCTGAATTGCAATGTTGAAACACTTTGTGAACAGTTTTACTCTCTGCTGCATCTATAGTTATTATGATCATTTTAACCCTTAGTATTGCTATTTATGCCTTTGCTTCTAAAGTCCACAAAAAACTCCCAAACAAAGTTATTACAGCATGGAACGAATCACATAACTACAAATGACAGGAAGATTTTCAAGATGGTTTCAAATCTATCTCTACCTAGCTTTCCTTTTTTATGATATTAGGGATTGAGTCAAGGCCTCTCACTTGCTAAAGGAGTGCTCTACCACTTGACCCATGCTTTAGCACTTCATATTTTATTGTTGAGATAGAGTGTTACTAACTTGTCCTGTGGTAACATTGAACACTAGATCCTCCTACCTCTGCCTCCCAAGCAGCTGGGATTATGGGTTTGACTACTATATCCAACTGCCAGTTTTTGAAATGATCTTCCTACTTATTACTTTGAATTCCAATCACAATGAGCTAATATAGTTCTCTTGACATATTTCTTACTTCCATAACCCAATAGTTAGTTTACGGCATCATTTTGCCCAGCCTTTTCTATATCTTCATCCACAAATGTACTCACTTGTTTCTTCAGGGTCATGTCAAATTCTGTGAATTCCACAAAATTCCCATTTTCTTCCAATCAGGAATCTGGACATATTTCCTCAAATTTCTCCATAGTATGATCATGTTGTTTTATACTTAATGAATTGGTTACGTATCTGCAAACTCCTGTTTGCAAACTCTGAGCATATGTAGTCATCAATTTTTCATCAGTTCCCATGGTGAGCCTATAGAAGGCAAGAGTCTCTCCTTTCCTATCTGTGACTACATTTTAAGCACCCTAGCACACTGTTCAGCATCTGTTGTATTTAATGGAGCTGAATTAATTGGAGTATAATTGAACAGGCATTCATTCTAGAGTCATGTGACTATGTTCTTACCTTTAAAAACTCTGCCTCCACCAACTGTCGGAAGTCTGAAAGTCCAGCATTTGACTGTATTCATGTGTTACAATGTATTTCTTCCTTGAGTGGTATGGGGAAACAGAGGATATGTTGTGGACATTGACACCAGCTGTATGCAGTTTTCCTTGCCTTTAAATGGATTTGCTAGACCTTTTCGGAGAACAGATATACTATTCTCTGAAATACACACTGACAAGCAGCATCAATGGGGGTGGTGGAAATGATGAACAGCTGATGGTTAGATATGCTCACAGTTGTTTTTTTCGTATCTACTGTATTAAACTTCATAACAACTCTTGGAGAATTTGTAATGATCATCTTCAGAGAAGTTAAGCAATTGAGTTGAGGTCTGTCAAACACCTAATGACATCATTGAGTGGTAGAATGAGGTTTAGTGGGCTCCATGTCTTTATTAACTCATCTCAAAACTATTTATTTAGCACTTGCTTTTGGAGTAGCCTTTATCTGTCTGGCTCCACATTATCCCTTGTTTTTTCAGATATTCCAGTGGTCAGAATACATGCTGGGTTTGCTGAGGTATCTTGGAAGCTGGCAGAATGCAGCAAGTCGTGCAGTGTTTCTTTCTGCTCCCTGAGTGAGGGACTTTTGAGTTTTGAAAGGATCTGGAACCTCATTAACCAAAAGTACCCGCTTTGTCATGTTCTTCTAAGTCCGTCTATAGACAGTTCTTGAAACTGGATCATACCCACATCTATCTAGCTTTTTGGAAAGAACAGCTTCCTAAATTGAAGGGGAAGGAGACAACTGGCTTCAGGGAAGCTGGAAGCCAGGCTGTCCTCAGAAAATAGCTCAAAGGGCCAATGAAAGAATATGAGTACTTGGAATCTGCTTACATTTATGGACTTATCCTTGTTCAACTTTCCTGGCAGAGTTTTTCTGCCCTCTGAGAGAATGCATTTTTTCCTCTCTACATTCAACCCAGCCATGGAGTTTAGGGGTGAAAAGTCAGTAGTCTGTCATCTGATCCCAAACCCTCCTTGTTTAGAGGAGTGGAGTATGTGTCTGGATGGGAGGGGGAGGCTGTCAAGATTGCATTACGATATTTTTTTCTGGACAATACTTGAGTTTTGAAGTCAAAACCTTGTGCTTCCTAGGCAGGCACTCTACCATTTAAGTCACATTCCAACCTTTCTTTGCTATAGTTTTTGGATAGCATCTTGTGCCTTTATCCAGGGGCAGGCTTCAGACTGTTATCTCTCTACCTATGTCTTCCCTGTAGCTATGATTACAAGATAATTCCTCAGCTTTAAAAAAAACTGATTAAGTTTTTAACTTTCCCCAGTCTGGCTTTGAACTGTGATTCTCCCAATCTCCAAGGCAGTTGGGATTACAAGCATGAGCTTCCATGCACAGACTCACACAGGCTTTTTATTTCTTTTAAAAAAATTTCTTGAAGTAATACGAAGGGTTTCAATTTGACATGTTTATTTGTTAATACAATGTATCTTGATCAATGTCACCCACTGTTTTTTTTTTTACAGTGCATTAATCTAGTTTGTAAAAGTGTGTTTCCACTTAAGGTTAAAGCTATAAGATAATTAATTCCTTGTTCTATACCATTAAGACAGGCACATAGCTATGTCCATCATGTCTGAAAGATTTATAGTAATTTGGTTATGACTCTTCATTTTTCTGGGTCCTTCCCCAATGTTAAGGAAGAAAGGCTCTCTTGGGCCTGAATGAGGGATACATAATAATATCTAAATGGTGTATCAGGTTTGCTAATCTTTCCTTCATCCACATTCCAGTGTTAGGCCAAGGTGCTAGTCCTAGCATCCCAGCATCTAAATAACCTTGGTGAAGTCATTTGATGGTATCTAGTTTCAGTGACTTTATCTGTTGATGGAAAAACCCTCACCATGATGATGTTGGGAAAATCGATTACATTATTATCTACGAAAGCACTTGAATTTGCATATGTACTTCAATAGTTCATTGTTGGAGAGTGCAAAAAATAAGCAACTACTTGTCTAGGAGGTTGTCATAGCAGATGCTGCCCCATGTACGTGGGAAGCCAGTAGGCTGGTGCTATTGGCCCCTCACACTTCAAGGGAATTCGTTTTCTTTCCCTGAAAGAGTTTATAAAGGTGACTCTAATGTTCCCAGTGTTAATTTGGAGCCGTATATTCCTTTATTATGTGAAATAACGACGGCTCAGCAAGTACTTTAGTATGTACAGAATATTTTCAAGATTTCCACAGTTCCCAGGTGAAAGATTAGGCCCTATATCTTTTTTTTTCTGGAGTTAGTTCCAGCTGCCACTTGCTTCTCCAGGTTACCTGGCCCTCTTAACTACTGCAGAAGTTTAAAAGCACACATGAATAGTTCTGTCTCAAAATTGTGAACATCTATGAGGGAAGAAGCTGGACATATTCAGAAACAGCATTGAAGGCAATAAGTCATACAACTGTGAAAGCTGGGATGTAAATTATGACCTGAACTATTCCTAATCCACCAGAACCATACCTTCTACCTAATACGTTACAGAAGACTGACCATCCTATTAATTTCCCCCTCTTTTCATAGGGGTGATACTGTAGAGGATTCTGGTTAATAATGCTCCACAAGTGTTTGTAGCATGCCTCATTGTGGAAGGCTAACACCATTATTATTATTGTTATTATTATTATCATTATCATCATCATCATCATTATGGTCCCTGTTGATCTCTCCATGTTACAATTGTTCGTTTTTTGTATGGGTGGGAGCTGTGAACTGATTGTTATAGGAACATTTGAGATGTGTTCTGCTGGCACAGGTACATAGAGCTTTATCAAGTATTATGGCGTTTTCCTGAGATCAGTCTTAGGGGAGCAAACCAAACACACCTCATCAATTTCTAGCACGTCTTCACCGAATTGTGGGACATGTGTGCAAATTGCTCTTGAGGAATGGGCTAAGGATTGGTTTCACTGGTGGTCTTTGTGAGTTTCTTGCAAGGTCTGAGAACATGTTAGAAAATTGTCCAGGGGTCTTTCCTGTGCTCTTTGCTATGCTAGCAGAGTTTCAGTGAGAAAATATACTAGTTTCTGAATGGACCTACATCATTGTCAAGGAGGCTTTTTCTCTTAGCTCCCATCCTGGAAGTCAGGTGCCTCTGTGATTTGATGATTGGTATTACCAAGACCTGAATGAAGCAAGGAACAAAGACTCAGAAAAGCAAAGGTCACAGACATGGGGAGGCAAGAGGTAATATAACGGAAAGGCTCTGCCTCCTATCCCACCTCCACACTTGTTCCTGAAAGAACAGCAATCAGTAGAAAAATGTCAATGAGGTCATCCCATTTAAGATTTGGGACTACATAAAAGGGCTCAATTTTTTGAGATGTTGACCAAATGCAGCCCAGAAGCTATTTAATTAGTCATACTCTTTGAGAGAACAAAAGCATCGGAAGAGGAAGGCAACTATGAGTCTGGCCAATTTACTGCTTCCCAACACATGATGCCATTCAGAAATTACACATAGACCAAATGGAAGACAATGCAAAGTATATCTCATAGCCACCCCTGAACTCCATTTTCTAGGCCATTGCCATCTTTCAGGAAGACTTTTGAACCCTTATTGCAACCAACAGACTCTTAAATGCTCTCCAGTTTGCCTTAACTCCCTTCTTTTCTTTCTTTCCTTTCCAGGATTTATCATAAGGCAATGCAAAGACACATCTTTTGAAGTCTCATTTCATATGCAGACTCCAACAGCTAAGAAACACTCTCCCTTCAGATTCTTGCCCATGGATTGAACAGCCTGTGCCACTCTGTGCCTCTTTACCTGGGCTCATTTCCAGTCATACTTGCTGAACCCACTTGAGGTTTTCTGCCTCTGTCACATCATCCATTTCTGCTTCCCATAGTGTTACTTGCCATTCACCAATAGCATATATGATACTAAGCTTTCCTTGATACCCTGTTCCAATTGAAAAGACTACTTTTCCTCTAAACTTACAGTACCTAGGGACAGAACTTCCTCTAGGCTTAAACTCAAGAACTCATAACTTGTCAGTCTCCCCAAGTAGGGAATGCCTTGAAGGCCAGAATCTGTGACCGACTCATCATCTCTTTCTATTTTAGGGCTCTAACAGTACCCGTGGTAGTTGCTGGTGTGATTCCACTTGATAGACTGGTCAAAAGGTAGCAAATACATTGAGATTCTTAGCAAGGTGATGAACGCATTCGTCCCCTTCTTAGGACTTAAGGT